AAGAAGGTTTTACATTGCTTAAGAAGGTATATTATTCATCTAACAAGTATATTCTTCGTATGTATATCAATGAAGATAATGGTTCATATGAATATATTGATATTGTTAATGCTGATAATGATGGTTTAGGATGGTACTTTGAAGGAGGTTTGAATGTAATGTATGGAAAGAAAAATGAAAACGGTAAAAGAGAAGGAATCTGTACTTTCTATAAACTACCGAACAAAAATGAGTTGGATTCAATATTCAAAGGAATGCGTGTTGAATATGATGAAAAGAAACTGGAATCGTATTTGACAAAGAAAGTAACATACAAGAATGGTGTTCTCGAAGGTAATGCATGTTATAATGTGAATGGAACTAGAATTGAAATGGTTATGAAGAATGAGAATGGTTATGAAGGTATAAGATATGAAAAAGGAAGGACTATTATTTATAATGATGATGCTTGCGTGAAACGATTAACAACTGAAATCTATCGAGGAAGTATAATCATATATGAATATAATGATGGAAAAATGGAATACATTTATGATGGTCAAGGAGTAGGAGAATTATTGATAAACAAAGATTATAGATGTTGGTTTGAAGGTGAATGGCGTAACAATAAGATGTATAAAGGCAAGCTTCGATTTGCTAAAGATGGTCGTATAATCGAAGGTGAATGGCTAAATGGCGAGATTGATCCACAATTTGAATACACAATCCGATTGAATGAAAGAGACTATAAAAAGAGTACACTATATAGAAATTATGGAGAACACAACGTGACTGAATGCAATATCGATGGAAGAGAATACAAGTTGGAAAAGAGAGATCGTTTTATCTATTGTACAGTGAAAAGTGGCACCGAATTACTCTACGAAGGATTTGTGATGAGTAAAGCAAATTCAGAACACTTGATATCGAATACTGGAATGGTACCTAATCGATTTGTGAAATGGGAATACATCCCACATGGAGCAGGCCAAGAATATGAAAATGGGAAATTGAAGTATGTAGGTAGTTATGTGTTTGGAAAACGTGAAGGAAACGGAACAGAATACAAAGAAGATGGAAAAACACTATTACTTTATGGAAATTGGAGAAATGACCAATATGAGAATGCAGCTTATTATCAAAACGATTTAAAGATAGAATGTAACTTTGGTGAATTTACACAAGTTCATAACGCTTCGATTTATCAGAATGCAATAGTGTCCAAAAATGGTATACAATTGTATCAAGGCTCGATACATTTTGTGGGACATGATATGAAGCCAGTCAAAGGAATTTGGTACATAAGTTTCCTTGGTAATTCTCGGTATTCTATGAAATCATCTGAGTTGCGAGACAATAAAATCCATATCAAGAATGCTATGTTTGAATACACTGGTTCGATAAAACTCGAAGATTTTGATTTCAATCTGTCAATAGAAGGAGAGGGTGAATTGATGTATGATGGGTTTGCATATAATGGTGAATTTGAAAGTGTTGAAACTATAAAAGAATGCACACTAAGTCGAGTCATGTCCAATGGTCAGAAAGTACCATTTTATTATGGTGAAGTGAAATGGTTGATGATGTATGCTGGAATTCTATTTGATGCCAATAATATTTCTGAGGGATTATTTAAAGATAATAAATTGATCAATGGATATGTTTTCGATACTGCTGGTTATTTGAAACAAATTGTAGGAGATCCAAGTGGTTATGAAGCACTTTATTCTGAGAAGAAGTACAAGTATCGCGAGTTATTCCAAAAGAATCATGGAGTTGTTTTACGTTATTCAACAACTCAATCTACTGCTACGAATCGATCCACACCCAATGTGGGCAATCCTAGCAATCAATCTACATCCAATGTGGGCAAATATAGAAGTCAACCCACACTCAATGTGGCAACCTCTAAAAAGACTGATACTCAAGAGAAAAAGATTGCTAATGGTTCTGCCGTTATCTACAACGAAGGTGGTAAGTGCTTAATCAGAATGACATAAAAAATGCTTTTTGAATACACCATATTTTGTTCAAATGTCCAAATATGTGTATTTCGAGACATGCAAAAGTAACCAATCGAAATACAACGTCAGATATTCTAGTTGAATTTTTATTCATTATGGAATGAGACTAGGGATCAGTTATGAAAAGCAATTAATAATGAATAAACTGTGTTTGACTAATTGATTTTTGTAGTTACTGCATTTAGTATATGATTCTGAAAGGTTCACTATCTCTGGCTCATGCCAGTTACACTTACCAAGAGAAATTTTCCTTTTTTGTAGATGTATTATTATTCGAAACAATGACAGAAATATGAATAATATTGGGTGATAAAGAAGTATTCCATTTCGGAATTCTTAGAGTCTTAAAGGATATTCAGAGTAAGTTTTTCAATTTACTGTAACATAGATATGTGAAATATCCTGTGAGAATTGAATAGTACTAATAATAATGCTATACTCCGTTTACATAAAAAAAACTATTGGAAAATTAGATTAAATTGTGAATTTAATACAGAAGGAAAGCCTTTATTATTAAATCAACTCATAATAATTAAAAGTATACGCAAATAAACACACAATAATATTTGTATATCCAAATCAATCTGTGGTATTATTTTGAATGTATTATTTGAGTTGTTGAACACCACACTAATGAATTAGTCAGTATAGTTTTATGCTAGTTAGGATTATCTATTATACGGAAACTTAAAAATGTTAAGCTATAAAAGCAAGTTCAAAAAGGTAATATCGTTTAATTTGAGTATCTAGACCAACATGGATAATCAACAAATAAATATACAAAAGCAATTATCCCTGCACTTGTTTCCATTATTAAACCAGCAATAGAATCCATTCAGCCATATCGAGCTGATTTCCAAAAAAGGTATCATCCATATTCACAACTGAGCTACACTGGAACATGTAGGCATTGTAGGCATTCACGTTGCTTAGAGTGAAGGTCAAGGACTGAGCGGCTGTTTGCCACTCCACACTATCCTGGCTATCCAGCATCACCCATTCGTCGCTTTCGTTCTTTCTACCGAAGATCTTCCACGTGTTGCAAGCCGCAGCTGTCGAATCGCCGTTAGTGAGCACATACTTGTTCATCGTGTATTCATCGCCCTCAGGGAACGTGTAGATCACTTCCACAGGGAAATCTGAGCTCGTCACAGCGGCTCGGTACTTGGTAGAAATCGAGTTATCGAACAGGTTCTGAATCCAATATCCAAACATACCAGGTAGGTTCGAAGTAGCCTGACCGCTTCCAACCAGCGATTGTTCATAGATCGTGAACTCCACAGAGCACTCGAAGTGCTCGGCCTGACCAATCTGACCCTCAGCAGCGTGCATTTCCACAGCGAATTCATACACACCATTCACAGCAGAATAAGCGTCCAGAGACAGGCGGAGAATGCGGTACACATTGCTCTCCTTCAGTTCGGTAGCCTGCGTCGTTGCAGTAATCTCTCCAGCGGGCAAGTTGAAGCGAGAAGCCTCGATTCCGTTCACATAGAACACAAAGCCACCGTTCGTCTTCACCTGGATGATCACAGATTGGAATCCAGCTCCAAACAACGTGTAACTCTGACGGAAGTAACGCGTGATCGAAGAAATAGCCGGGTACTCCGAAATCAAACTCCAGTTCACATTCTCCGTGGTCCAGCTCGTGCCCACCATGGCCTCCGAAGAGTATTTCCAAGCAGCTCCAGCCTCAATCACTTCAGGAAGAGCAAACATTGCAGACTCTTCAGCACCCACAACAACCTTCCTGTACGATCCAAGCAAACTGCCGTAGAAAACACGAACCATCGAATTCTCAGCCCAAACCTGTTCATTCGAATTCGTCATCACAATCGTGTAGAGACCGCGAGTGATGTACAGGTTCACTACACCAGCAGCACAAGTAGTCTGACTATAGATAGCATGGTCACGCGTAGCTCCCTCATAAATCGTAAAGCCTTCAGAATCCGACGAGTTACCACAAGAACGAATCAACATGATTTGGAACTGTTCTTGAGTATCATCAGTGGGAGCCATAGTCGTAGGGACTTCAGTGTAAGCCATACCAAAGTTGAAGACCGAGTTCGTTTGAAGGTATCCACTTTCCATTACAAATTCCAGAGAAAGATCTCCGCTCTTCAAAATCAAAATAGAACCCGTAGACCATCCATTAAGGCCAGAATCACGCATCACCAAAGTGTGCTCAACAGGATTGATACACAAGTATCGAACCTCAGTTGTGCAAGAAGCCTGAGCGATAAGAGCATTTCCATTCGTATCTCTTCCTTCATAAATTTCAAATCCTTCTTCTTCAGGTATAAAACCACAATCACGAATAAGTTCGACCAACACTTCTTCACCATCACATTCAGGAATTGAGTTTAGCTGTACCAGGGCTTGAACATTGAAATTTTTGGTCAGAGTATTTGTCTGAGTGTCTAATTTGAAGGATATAGATTTATTCCCATTACTTAGTTTGAGCGATGACTTATTACTCCAACCATCTCCATACGAATCTCGTAGTATTATCGTATGTTCAACCAAGTTCATACACAAATATGTTATTCCACCAATGCATTCAATCTGAGAGTAAACCACATTACCCATATTATTTCCAGTTCCTTCATATATCTCAAATGATTCTTCATGTGGATAGTCAGAACATACTCGTATAAGTTCGACCAATATTTTTCCTTTATCGCATTCATCAGGAGCATTATTAGTAAGATTTGGTATAATAAGATCCAGAGTTTCAGCATTTACAACATATTTTATTGAGAATAATGGTCGGAACTGCAAATTCAGGTTAGAATATTCATTACTTAATACCAGAGAGGAACCAGTACTCCAACCATTTGGAGAATAATTATTTAACAAAAGAGTATACTCTCCGGGATTCAAACATATGTATGTTATTATATTAACACAGGCAGTTTGCTCATATACAATATTATCTACTCCATCATCAGTTCCTTCATATATTGTCAGTAATTCGTTTTCCTTCCAATACCCACATGTGCGACGGAGCTGAGTCAAAAATTGTCCTTCATTACATTCAGGTAAAGTCACTGTCGGAACTAATGTAGTTGGATTCAAATGGGAAGGATGAAAACTACAATATTCAGATATAGAAATAGTGTGCAAAATAGGACATTCCAGATTTAGCTGAAAAACTCTTGGATAGACGCTGCCACATAAATACAGCTCTTGAAGAAACACATAATTCAAATTGAATACACTCACATCACTATCATCGTTATGTGTGATAATCAGTTTGGTAATATTTCTAGGAATATTTGCCATAGAAGCCATAGTATCATAAGCAGTAAATACTTCTGTTAGATGTGATTGAATATTAGAAGATGAAGTAAGTGTTGCTGATGCAGGAATTATATTAGTTGTATTAACAGCTGTAGATGTTGAATAATCAAATGTAAATGTTTTTCTAAGTATCCCAAATTCCAGTGTGTAATTAATAGACTTGTCTTCATAATTAATTAAAAGTAATGATCCATCACTCCAACCATCTTTAAAATAATCATGCATTACAATGGTATGTGCAATAGGCTTAATGCAAATGTATTTTCTTGCTACACTACAAAAACTCTGATTGAATAAAATACCACTAAAAAAGGGATATGTTCCTTCAAAAATGACAAATGATTCTTCTTGCACATATGTACTACAAGTCCGAACAACTTCGATTAATAATTCATTCTGTTTACAGTCAGGAATACTATCAGGAAGTGACTCAGTGAGAATACGAGGGGAAGTATTAGTATTGCTTGAGAAAGTAGAACCGCATATAACGAAATCATTTAATAATGGGGCATTAATATTTAAACTATTCATATATGGAAAAGCATCATCATTAATGTATAAAGCCTCCAAATCATGAAAATCTATATTCAACTCAGTCAAATCACTATTATTACAGTGCTTGAAAATCAAATATTTAACATTTTTAGGAATTCTTGCAAATGTTTCTTTATTATCGTATGCACTAAACATAACAGCGGGATACAATATTGGATAGTTTCTCAATGCAGGAAACAATGCCAGTCCATAATTTATATGTGGAATATTAACAACTTCCAATATTTCAAGAGATGGGCAATTCATCGTAAAGGCGTGGGAAAAAATAAAATGATAGGTATTTATATACATTTCTTTTAAATATGGAAATTGAAAAGTTATGTCATTACCGCTATTTATGACATAAATGATTAGAATTGTGACATTGTTTGGTATATTATCGGAAAGAGTCGAATTTAAATATGCAACGTGTATTATTTTCGGAATAGAATTAATCGGAGACTCCGTCAATTCTAATGTGAAAACATGAATTACAGTACTGCTTCCACTAGTTACATTATACTTTAGAGTCTTTTTGTCAGTCCTCAAAGTGATCGAAGAACCTCCCGTCCAGCCATCACCCCATGAATCACGCATAATAATTGTATGTTCAACAGGATTAAGGCACAAATAAATCATTTCAGATGTACATATGTTCTGACTGTACACAACTGAGCTTGAAGAAGGATAGTTTCCCTCATAAATCTCCAATGATTCTTCAAGAGGATAATCACCACATACACGTATAATTTTGACCATATTTTGTTCTTTGCTGCATTCAATTTGATATGGAAACGTTGTAGGAGTAGGTGTTGGAGTAGGAGTTGGCGTCATTGTTGGTGTTGGCGTCATAGTTGGAGTTGGCGTCATAGTTGGAGTTGGCGTCATAGTTGGAGTTGGAGTAGGAGTTGGAGTAGGAGTAGGTGTTGGAGTAGGAGTTGGCGTCATAGATGGTGTTGGCGTCATTGTTGGAGTTGGAGTAGGAGTTGGAGTAGGAGTAGGTGTTGGAGTAGGAGTAGGCGTCATAGTTGGAGTTGGCGTCATAGTTGGAGTTGGCGTCATAGTTGGAGTAGGAGTTGGAGTAGGAGTAGGTGTTGGTGTTGGAGTAGGTGTTGGAGTAGGTGTTGGCGTCATAGTTG